AGGTTGCCATACCTCAGTAGCACAACAAGATGAACACCGGATTCATAGGAGTGGTTAGGTCAAAGGTTGCAATAAGGATATAGTATAGGAAGGAAGAATTAGTTCGTAGAAAGAAAGATATGAAGTGATTTAATCTCTTAGTTTAAGGGAAGACAGAGAGTGTATACACCGACGCCATTGTGATCGATTCTGAGCCATGTCACCAAGAGTCTCCAACCATTGGTTACGATAGTCACGCGGACCCCAACGAAGTAGTCTGCATCTACCAACATGGCTAAGACTAGAAGTTAGTAACTTCAAGCACTGATGCCACGTTTTGGTTTGGCCGCCCCTAACTTTCTTCCAACCATCCCCTATACCAGTTAGCATTGTACGCCGTGGTAATCGGTGTTCAGGCATACGTAATACGTGGCCCAACCATCTCAGTCGATGAAGATTCATAACCTCATCAACTGATTTACCATCATTCCCTAATACCCTGCGTCTAACCTCACTATTACTTACCCGGTGATCCCAGCAGATGCCAGCAATATTTCTAAGGCATCTGTGGTCAAATACTTGTAGCTTACGGGTGTCTCCTACTGTTAAAGGCCATGTTTCGCTGCCGTAAAGTAAGACAGAACGGACTGCCGCGCAGTATACTCGTCCTTTTATTGATAGACGGATATCTCGCCTCCGCCAAAGGTGACGTAAGTTGGCAAAAGCCAAACGAGCTTTTCGAATCCGTGCTGAGATTTCGTCAGACACCAACCCATTAGGGCTGATCAGACTTCCAAGATAAGTGAAGTTGTCGACGCGTTCGACTACTTCACTCCCTATCCTTAGTTCAGGTGTTGACACAGACCAGTCCTGAAGCAACAACTTGCATTTAAAGGGAGAGAAGCGCATCCCAAACATTCTGGCATTGTTGCTTAGTGCTACCAGAAGACTCTGCATTTTGTCAGCGTCTTCACCAAACAGGACTATATCATCTGCGTATTCTAAGTCGATAAGTGGACCTCCTGGAAGGAGATCAATACCCGAGAATTCAGTCGACGAGAGTGTTATTTCCATCAATAGGTCTATGATGAAGTTAAACAAAAATGGAGAAAGTGGACAGCCTTGACGGACACCACTTGAAGTTGCAAAAGTAGATGACAGTTCGCCATAAGCCCTGACTCGACTAGTAGTGTTCGAGTAAAGAGCCTTCACAAGGTTTATGTACTTCTGAGGTACGCCTTTCAATGACAGACACTGCCACAGAGTCTCGCGGTCTACAGAGTCAAACGCTGCTTTTCAGTCAAGAAAGACCACCATCGTCGGACGCCGATAGGTATGCCTGTGTTCTGGAACCTGACGAATGGTGAATATGTGGTCGATGCAGCCACGACCAGATCTAAAGCCAGCTTGGTTCTCTCGAGTTTGTAGTTCACGAGTCTTAGTTAGGCGTCTGATAATTATCGAGGCCAGTATTTTAGATACTATGTTTGTTAAACTAATCCCTCTGTGGTTGTCACAGGATGATTTTGACCCTTTCTTATATATTGGGACGATGAGTGATTGCGACCAGTCAGATGGGATAAAGTCTAATTCCCAGATCTTAGCTAAAATATTAGTCAACCTAATCGCTAAAATTGGACCACCATCCTTAAAGACCTCTGGAGCCAATCCATCTGGACCAGCTGCCCTTCCTCGTTTCAGATTAACTATAGCCTTTTGAACTTCAGCAAGAGTTGGGGGACCTACTTCAATGTTCCATTCACATTGTCTGGGAATGGAGGGTAGTTGTAAAGTAGCTGAAGGCCAGCTGAACTGTTCTGTAAAATGTTCCGCCCATCGTTCTAAACGTCTGGACTGGGAGCAGATGAGAGTATCATCTTTTTCCGAAATAATCTCACTTACACTTGACTTATTAATTCCAGTTTCTTTTATTAGTCTGTAAAGCTGTCTTGTGTTCCCTATAGTCGCCGCCTTTTCCATCTCTTTTGCTTTCGTTACCCACCACTGCTCACGGTCGTTCCTTAGACTTTTTCTTAACCTAGATCTGATTTGTTTTCGCTCTTCATCATGTTCAGAACTTGATGGGACGAGTTTGCGAGAATCCATCAGTGTGACAGACCTTGAAGAAATCCACTGGTTCCTTGCAACTCTGTGGTTTAAGTCACTAATAGATGTCACTGCTGTTTCCACAGCTGATTGTATGCCCTTCCAAGCAACATCTGGGTCAGCCTCGTCTTCACAACTACCTAAGTGTGACCTCAGTTGTTCCTGGAACCTACTTTTGGTTCTCTCGTTACTCAACTCAGTTCTAACGGGTCTTTTTAATGTGGCTTTTTTGCGTCCAGTGAGGCGCAAGCAGATGCGTACCCGTATTAGGGCATGGTCGGAGTCCAAGCAGGTACTCCAGAATGGGCGACAATCTTCTACCGACCCTCTCCAACGATGACTGATGGCAATATGGTCTATTTGAGTCCATCGTTGGTTTGGTGTAGGGGGTCGCCATGTTAGACGATGTCTCTCCTTATGCTTAAAATTTGTATTTGCTAAAAATAAACGATTGTCTGAGCATAGCTGCAGCAGACGATCACCATTATCTGTTCGCTGTGTCGGAATACTAAAATATCCACCTAAATGCCTTTCTGTTTGGTTTAAGCTACCTATCTGAGCATTAAAATCACCTGCTACGAGTACTATGTCTGAGCGTTTAGCTTTCTGAAGAAGTTCAGAAAGCTTTCTGTAAAATTCATCTTTCACTTCATCTGAGCTGCAGTCAGTGGGAGCGTAGACAGAAACGACAAAAAGGCAACGACGTGTGCCCCTATCCTTCCGAGTTCTTACGTAGCCGTTCAGCCGAACAGCACATAGACGACTGTTGACGGGGATCCACTCTAGCAGTGCTTGTTCGGCCCTCATGCTTAGTGCTATGCCTACAACTGCCAGTCCACGAGAACTGGCCATCGGGTCACCAGATACACGAAGGGTGTATCTCGTTGGCTCTCCGTTTTGCCGAGGTGAGGTCAAGTGAATGACCACACTGGGATCCTGTATGCGTGTTTCAGAGACACAGCATACATCAATGGAAAGAGACTCTAGGGTTTTAGCCAAGGAAGCCTGCTGACCGATTTGACATAGAGTGCGTACGTTGAAAGCTCCAATGTGTAGTTTGGAGCGAGGTTTCAGTAGACCTGGGACAGAGTTTTGAGCACTAGAATCGTTGGCTATGGTGACACTTGAGGAGGAAGCCGAAGGAGGAAGTTTAGGGTTGAAAGTCGATGTAGGAGGAATAATAGGAATTGAAGAGGAAGGTTGATTATGAATACAGTGGTCTTGGGTGCTGTTAGAGGTATGAGGGCGGTTATCACTTCCCGGTTGCCCACACCGTGGAAGGGTTCTTCTGGAGGTACCTGAAAAGGAAATTGGATTAGAGGTGGTCTCAGTGACCTGAGAGCGTGACCGCAGTGCCCAAGGGACAACTGCTTGAGGCCGGTCGCGCACGGCCTTTTCGTGGAAGGTTTGCGACGTGTTAGCTCCGTTCTTCAAAGGGCCTTACCGCCGGAGACGGAAATCCGTGAGGTAAGGTGAGGTGTGCATTTTTAGGGTCGACCTTTTCTAACCCCACCCCTCCTTGTGGGAAGGCAGCATCGCTGTCATGCTGGTTGTCTGAAGGAAACACCTTACTGCTGTCACACCTCTGTACAGTCAGCAGTACGACTTCGCCTTCGGACCTTGGGTTTGTTGCTTTTAGTCTTACCGCTCTTCAACCGACCTGTCTGACATGGTAGGACCTTGAGGAACGGTTGTTCCAGCCAGTATAGCTCGGTTGCTTCATCACGATAGGCAAGCCCGACCACCACGTCAAGGTAGCAACAACGGTCGGGCCAACTAATATCAGGTGCATTAAAGTCTCCTATTATCAAGCATCTAGTATTTACACTCCAAAGATGAGTGTGCTTTAAAATAAAGTCATCAGCTAAGCTAAGTCCAAGTCATGGACTAACCAAGTTTCTGTCACTGCTACAATGAGTGGCCTTAATCTGTCCACTAACGTTTCTAGTTTATAGAACTTATACTACGAGCGTTGGCATATAAAACTCCTAGGTAGAACAGCCTATCCACACATGTCTTGGTAGCATTCGCTTCCAAGACCTGACTATCCAAAAACCCACTAACCGGAGATCTTCCTGACCGTTTTGTCGATGGGTTTCTAGTTCAGCTAGTGCTTTTTTCCCTTTTTATTCTATCTTTGAGAGACATATCAGGTCTAACTCGGACGTTGGAATTGTCGTGACAACGAGCGCTACTTAATAGGAGATCCCGTTGCTTCGCCGACCCTAGGATTACTTTAAGGAGTCTGCATGGTCGGGGTTCAACATTTTCCTCGGTCCTCTTATCTATTCTAACCAGTTTTTTGACCTGAACTCCCTTAGAGTTATCTGGTAAGATACTATGAATATATATTATCCCAGCTTCTCTAAATTATGTGCGTGTCCAATTTTGGTGTCAGGGTCGGTTGACTCCAGCAATTTGCTCACAATAATATTCGATGATATTAGATTTTTCTTCTCAGTCACGCCAGGGTGGGTTAGACTTTCGGCCACATTCGAAAACCACTCCATTTACTCTGCTTTGTACAACTGGCAGTAGTATTATCATCCTTCACTTTGAGTATGATTCAAACCCACGCGCCTGATGAATAAGTTTATCATATTTTGTTTATGAATCCGTAATTGTCGAATGGGTTGCATTTTTCTTGAATTTAATGACGAAACTTCCCTATTATAGTAACTTGTGAATTGAATATAGTTATAACATTCATCTGAGTAATTATTTATATGAGTATTTTCGTGTACAACTCACTCATTTGATTGCTTCGCAAATGGTACCATTTTTGTATACTTATTAAACCACGTAGTCTAAATGGATTATTTCCATGTGATTCTCATATTCTAACCTACAGTCCCAATAAGCGCTAGATAAAGAATATTCAGTTTCTGTTTTCTAGTATCTTTACTTCTTTTCAGATTCCCACCCACAAGTAAAAAAACGTAATGAGCTTACCTCATTTTCCGAAAATGAAACTGAATGCCCAGTTTGTTTGATGCCTATAGAAGATCCACTGCGACTTAGTTCATGCGGTCACTTCGCTTGTTCAGTTTGTTGGAGGAATTTCATCTCGTGTCAAATAGAAAACTTTGCACTGGCTCATCTCACATGTGTAGCGTGCTCAGAACTATTGCAGCCATCAACTGTGATTCATCTCTTGTCTGCTGTTTCAACTCGTCATGAGTCTTCACAAAGTCCCGTAAAAGATAATCAGTATGACCGCAGTTTATCTCGATATGAAGAATTTTTACTTCAACAAGCAATGTCCTGTGAACCAGAAGCGAGATGGTGCCCAAGAGGTTGTGGGTAAGTGCTACATTTTTTACTGTTGAATCCAGCTATACTCTCCATAGAGATGATGGTTTTTCGTCCCCTCATTTTTAAAATTTACAATTCTGCATGAACACGTAAATATTAGCATAGTATGACATTCTCATTTTGAAACTATGGGTATTATGTATAGTAGACTATGCACATTACTTGTTCCTTCGTCTCTTATTTTAATGGGGAAACTCATCAAATATGTCATTTTTTACATACTAATTGGTCGTTGATCAGAAGTTAAGGCTGCACTCGTTCACTGCTACGTTATAACTCAACAGTTTTCACTCTACTTATTCATTATGTTTGAATTTGGTCACTCTACTTCAGTCCAAATGACCAAATAGTATATCTAGTTCATCAAATATGTAGCTCAGAGCATAGTTAATAAGTCTCCAGTTCGTTAGTCTCATACATCAAACTACCTATCACGGAAATAATTCTTTGTGACCAAAGGGAATCCAGTTCCTGGATTTAGTTTCCTCTATTTTAGGATGTCTTTAATGCTCACGTAACCACGACTTATTTCATCTCACATTAGCGAAAAAAAACGTCTCGGATATAATCCATTTAGGGATAGACGATTGTCTTTGGAATTCGAAACTTAAGTAGTTGAAAGCATTCGAAAAAAGACAGTTTACATCTCATGAACTAGTATATTATGCAAAAATTAAGTCTGACAGTATCTTCCAATCGTTAATGTTTCAATGGACTTCTGATCATGTTTATTCTCATGTTAAATATTTTGTATATAAGCATATTATTTTTGCAGATAGAAAGCCTATTCCGGCTAATGATCTTGTCTTTGCTATCAAATCATTCGGGAGTCGGTGTCAATGATTCGGCATGGTAATCATTTATCAGTCGATTGATTTATGATCCTTATTTATACATTAAAAAACACGAAATTCAGCAAAAGGATCGATTTTCAACTTATTAATAATCAGTATAATCGTATATATATACAATATTTGTGCATTCGAAACACCATGTAAAATCAATAAGTTAACGTAGGATTGTAGCGAGAATGGAATAAAATTGGTAAAATGTCTTCGTCACAACAATTAATGGTCTTTATCACACCCACATTGCCACTGAGTCTGTTATCGCTTGATCAGAACTCTGTTCATTCATTTTAGTAGTCTTTAATTCACGAATCGTTCGTCGAACCGTAACGTAAATAGCGCAGACTAAAATATTCATTAACAATAGAAACAATGTGAAACATTTACTTATATATCCGAATTGCAGCACATCGTATCATTCAGAGAAAAACTAATGGGACAAAAGTAGTGACAACACTAGTGAGGATGTGGGAGACAATATACAGTGTTCGAAATAATAATTCTTTCGATATTATCAAAAATGTATATGAATCATTATAACTATATCTTACTAGTAATACATATAACTAGCCATCCATTTCCTATTAACTTCAACCGCTAACCATAAAGCCTGTGTTTTTGTCCATGGTTTCAATCAACATACAACATTTCTTTTCTAACCACCTTAAGCCCTCAATCCCACCCTCCATCCAGTTTACATAACACTTTGACGTAGTCGATAATTCGCTGTATGTATCACATCCTAATCATCTCAATAAAATGTTCACAATTTCTCTAACAAACTTACCTACTTTTAGTTGGTAATCGGTTCTCAATTCTATAATTGTACAATCTATGATCTCACCACACATGGTTGAGTTAAAAGTCATTAACGACCCAGTATTTGTTACTGTCTACTCTCAATAATAATATTTTACATCCAATTAATAGAAAAGGAGCTCACAATCCTAGTCATTAGTATCATAGTTCATAAATGAATCCCCAAAGGATAAAACTCACACGAAAATATTAAAAGATAAACATCTGAAAAATCAAAAAGCTTTTGCTTTTACAGAATCAGATAGTCTATTTCTGTATACAATTTATCACTATATTTAATATTATCCTCATACAGTATAAAATAACCTCTCAAAATATGTATTATCCAATCCTTGAAGAGCCGATATACTTTCTGAACTTACTCTAACTTGATTGGCTCCCACATTTATTTAATGTGTCAAACATCTGTAACTGATAGATGTGGAATTATCTCTAAAAGGTTCATTGTTTTATAGTTTCAATTAGACATCTGTCTACCTAATTCGTATACTCAGCTCAGGACAGATGTATATACATATTTCAAGGTCCTAATTATGTCATATAACAGGCTTTGGAAAAGCTGTGAATAAAAAGAAAAATATTTTGTAGTTGTATCAGTAGTAGGTATTTGAAGTGGTTCAATTTTATGTTTAATTAGTTCTTCATACTACCTGATATTTTATCATTTCAGTTATGGATTGATAGCACACTCCTTCCACGCCTGTCCGCAAATTGTCTGTCTTCATCCAATGTGCGAAGGACGTTCATTTTGTTTTAAATGTAGAAGACCTTGGTCCACTGATACAACAAATGAAAGTTCGTCAGATCAAAATAATGTTATACATATTTGTCCGGCTGAACAAGATATGCGTAGTAATGCATTAGATGGACTGCGCTCTTTCTTTGGTATTCGACGTTTTAGCAGGCAAATATCTGGTCATAATTTAATAACAAATGGCCCTCAACCAAAAGTTTCTGATAATACTTTACCAATACATTTAAATACCTCGACTTCTATGAAGGGAAAGCGTTCCCATGTACTGAGATCTTATCCCAGTTCTACCAACTACTCCAATGATACTCGATTATCTATGGAAGAACTATTTACAAACGTAGATCTTGAGAGTGCTAATACTACTGCTCCTGTTTCAAAGGAAAAGTAACTACCTTTTTAATTATGAATATCCATATGAAAATTCATCCTCATTCGTTTTTTTTATCTAATTGCCTTTATTCTAATTTATGAATATATATATGGTAGCAAAAACATTTAATTTGACAAATTGTTTATTATCATAAATTCTATCCTCACGAGTGGTTTTATAATTTCTTCTTTAGACATCCGATCTCTGAATATGATGTGGTTAACTCTTCTGAATCATCTCCCAAAGTAAAGAGACGTCCTTCCGTAGATTCTAATGATCAAAGTGAGTTTTTAAAATAGTAATCGCTTTATTCAATATTGTACGTTTAGTACAATTTAGGACTTTCAACATACAATGTTTTAACAAGTTTCAATCTTGATAGACGTTAAATATATATATAAAACAGGTAGACAAAATTACATTACAATGAAATCTTTATAAGAAAATAAGGATCTTCACAACGTTGAATAAACTGCAAATTCTAGAGTATCAGTTTTTGGTTAGTTGCGTAGTATATATGCTAAGTACGTTATTGTACGGAGCCTGTGCACTAACTCCCGGCTAATTTATAATTTTATTACCGTTCATTTCGACTGTTTTTCTTTCAAACTATGAAATGTACGTCCGTAAAATATATTCCCCTCGACACATAACCAAATAAATGTTGCATAAAAAATTCTTCTGACAAGGGCACATGATGATATTGTTGTAATGAATTTAATGTTGATTTAGTAGTGCTATGTGACATTAATCTCGCAAACGAAGTACAGGTTCGTACTTAGACTTCAACCATATTTTTATACGAGAACTTCAAAGATAAATATTGTCACATACTTACAGCTTACAAATGTCTTTCAAATTAAACTAATGCAAGTCATTGTGACTAAGAGAGAATTTGATCAAAGACTATCAAGATATGAATAAGTGAAATTTGTAGTTTCTTAAGTGAGTGTATTTCAGGAGCAATGAATTTAAGAGACAATAAAAGTTTATAAATACATTAAGTAGAAAAGAAGGCATAAAAATACAGAAAAGAAATTAGTCACTGTATGCAAATCATGAAAAAATGATTGGTTCCAATAAAGCTATCAATAACACTTGATTTTCAGTCAAAAAACTAAACTTGTAACATTCACAGCAACTAATCAGACAAAAAATTAGTTGACTTGTCTATAACCAGTCAATTTAATTAAATCACTAAACAGCTGATTTTAATGTTGATCATCGTGACCCGTATAACCTTTTTTATCAGTGCATCCAAAACAGACATACAAAGAGGAATAACATATACAAGATAGATAGATGTGCGAATTTCAATTGAAGGCAATTGATTATACCAAATATCATCTGGGTTTTCTTTACTAATTAATGTTTTAGAGTGTGTTTTTTTACCGAGTGTTATTCTTTTTTAACTAATTGCATTCCAATCCACCAAATCAGTTTGGTATATGGACCATACAAAGCTTCATAAACATTTTATAGTATGTTATACTATATTTCAACGAGAATTTGTGTGCCGTAAAGCTTTACTGTCCTTTATTATTTTGATCAATACAGCTTAGCAGATCGGTTTGTCAATTGTTTACTTGACGTCAACAACTCATTTCATTTAAAGTAGGCGTGGATATATATATATATATATATATATATATATATATATATATATATATGCATGTTTGTATACATGTATTTACTACCAATCAATAGTAAAACAAAGTAGAACCTGGGTCTATAGTATGTTTATTCAGATTGCCTCACGTCATAGCAACCTTACTCAGTCGTGCAATCGCTGCACCTAAATTCAACTTTCTCTTTTACCCATATAATGGACAATATTCGATTTTGCCAGCTTAATAATAAAACTATTTCGATACCGTTTTGGTGTCATGCATTCCATTGTTTCTTTTCAACCTTTTATACACCCATTTTATTGGTAAACGTTTAATAGACATCTTAAGCTATTGAATGTAAACGTGTTTATTTCACATATATTGATCAGCCACTCAAGATTAAATGAATCTTATGAAAACCGATAGGATGGTAAATATATCGTACTCTGATAATCCTGTTTCAATTTTATTATTCAAATTACAATGTCATTTACCACTGCAATAATTTAAACCATAATAAGTAATATAAATAATGTGTCAAGAACGGTTGTCTTCTTACAACTAACTCAGTTCCTTTTTTGGATAATTTTAGAATATCTTAAAAATAAGTAGGTATTTGAAAAGATTTAAGGGATAACAGATTATTTTAGGGAAATAACCTAAAATAAAACTCATGACTTTCGTTTATATTACATCTTTCATGCACTGAAACAGACTAAAAACATCTAGTGACTAACTTAATCGTTAGTGATTAATTACAAACACCTTGACAAGTAGAAATCCGTAATCTGCAAATATTTTTCGAATAAATCCAACAAATTGTCTAGAAAAATTTTTAGTTAATCAGATATATTTGTGCGTACGTTGAGGTTTGAAGACGTATGTACTAGTGTACTTCGTTGATCGATAGAAGTTATTGTTCATTGAACAATAAAACAGAACTGTCCTTTCTCAGAATTCAAATCACAATAACTTAAGTGAGCCGATGGTTATTAACTAACTCCCCTACATACTTACGCCTATTACCCGTAGTGGAGGAGCATAGGCCGCTCACCAGTATTCTCCATAGAGAAATCCGTCCTGGACAATCCTTCACAGTTGTCTCCAGTTGCTATTCATCCTTTTCGTGTCTGCTTTCGATTCCCGACGTAGTGTGTTCTTCGACCCTCCACTTTTCCGTTTCCCTTCAGGGTTCCAAGTTGGGGCTTGCCTCGTAATGCAGTTCGATGATTTCTGCAAGGCATGTCCTGTCCACCTCCAACGTCTTTCCCTAATTTCCTATTCAGCTAGAAGCTAATTTGTTCTCTCCCACAGTAGGCTGTTTCTGATGGTATCCTGCCAACGCATATTGAATATCTTGCGTAGATTATTTATTTATTTATTTGAACACAAATATTGGTACAGGAATGCGCCGAATATATATGCGCCACACAAAACAATGAGAATTTAGCGAGAAGGAAAACAAAAAAGAGAGAATAATAACGAAGAGATTGATGTAAGGTGGTGTAATAATAATAATGGTAAAAATGGGGGAACGGAAAGGTACAATCAGATGAAATCTTTCAGGTAAGGGAGACACAACCACTTTTTATGAAGAAAGTAAAAGAAGGTTACAGCAGGATCGCCACTGGCTTCTATTCTGAGCCATATCTGATAACGTCTCTAGCCACTGTGTAGCACCATCTCTCGGACCCCAACCAGGGAGTCGTGAAGGACCGACAGAAGCCAGTCCTTTGCAGCTTTCTTTCATACCACGACACCATGTCATGCGCTGACCACCTCTCCGCTTCTTCCAACCAGTCCCAGAGTCGGCAAATAATGCACGACGTGGAATTCTCTGGGACGACATTCGGAGAACATGTCCAAGCCACCGAAGCCGATGTTTCAAGATGGTGACACCAATTGCATTATAGTCTTTGTGCCCAAACACACGATGCCGAACCTCTGCATTACTGACATGATGTTGCCACTGGATGTCAGCAATCCTTCGGAGACAGCGATGATCGAACACAGAGAGTCGTCTAACATCCTCAACTCGGAGAGGCCAGGTTTCACAAGCATAGAGCAAAACTGCTCTCACCGACGCGTTGTAAATCCGACCTTTTACAGCCAGACTAACATCACGAAGGCGCCAAAGATGGCCCAGATTAGCATAAGCCATTCTGGCTTTCACTATACGTGCATTGATCTCATCACTCACACCCCCACCAGCACTTATGCAGCTACCCAGATACACGAACTTCTCGACTACTTCTCTCTGCTCAACATCCAGGGTGAGTGCAGGATTAGAATCCTGCCAGTCTTGTAGAAGTACTTTGCACTTCGAAGGTGCAAAGCACCGTACATACGGACATTGATTGCCAACTGATTTAGTGTGGATTGCATGCCTTGGGCATTATCGCACAGTAAGACAATATCACCCTCATACTCAAGGTCGAGAAGTCTTTCTCCAAGCAACAGATCCACACCGCCATTACTTACATCCATCAGAGCTGTTTCCAGAATGTCATCGATGGCAAAGTTGAAGAGGGATGGTGAGATTGGGCAACCCTGCCTAACCCCACTGCTTGAATGGAACAATGGAGAAAGGTGGTTGTATGCCGTCACTCTGCCTGAGGTGTTTGTATATAGGGCTTTTAGGATGTTAATAAACTTCTCAGGCACACCCTTCTTCAATAGACAATCTCAGAGAACAGTCCTATCCAATAATTGAAGGCAGCCCTGATGTCAAGAAACACTACAATTGTTGGCCTTTGATAAGTATGGTGGTGTTCTAACATTTGGCGGAGGGTGAAGATATGATCAATACATCCTCGACCAGAACGAAACCCAGCCTGCTCCTCTTGAGTCAATCTTTCTCGGGTTTTGAACAACCTACGAAGTATGATGGAAGCCAATAGCTTGGACGCGATCGGAAGTAGACTTATCCCCCGATAGTTGTTACAGGAACGACGTGAACTCATTCCATGACCTCGGTACACCCTCCAGCTCTCAGACCTTTGTAAACAACGTCGTCAGTTCCTTAGTCAGAAAGTCACCACCATCTTTAAAAAGAAACGGAGGTAAGTCATCTGGATCAGGTGATTTGTAGCGCTTCAAAAGTTGGAGTTCCTTGCGGACTTCCACCTCATTTGGTGGACCAGTCTTCACCGGCCTTGGAGGGCAGGACAATGTGACCGATGTTGTCGGAGCAGTAGGCCAGTTGAACTGCCCCTCGAAAAATTCTGCCCATCGTCCAAGACGTCGATGAATGTTGGTGATTGGCATCCCATCGTCCTCGCTGATTGTTTCGCTCACACCAGACATCTTGCTGCCAGTGGCTCGGACGAGTTGGAAGAGCTTCCGGTAGTTACCAGATGCAGCTGCTGCTTCCAGCTCATTAGCACACTCCGACCACCAGGCTTCTCAGTCCTTACGCAAGCTTTGCCCAATTTCCTTACGTAACATCCTTCGTTTGTGGTCAAACTCACGGTCACCCGGAGTAGACCGACGGGCTTCAATGAGTTGTAAGGAACCTGCAGAAACCCAGTGCTTATAAGCGGGACGTTTCGCGAACCCTTAACTGACTGTAGCCACCATTTTCATAGCGTCATGCAATTGCAACCAATGCTCATCTATACTTTTCGGTGGAATGGTAGCCAGCCTAGAAGCTAGCTCGGTTCGATACTTACCAGCAACAGAAGTTGCAACCAGCTTGCTAATATCAATCCGTTGGTGGCGGTCACTTCGTTGGCCACTGAAAAGTAAGGTAAGATTTGCGCAGACCAAAGCATGGTCAGAGTCCAAATAGGTACTCCAAAAGGAGCGGCAGTCTTGTACACAACCACGCCAGCGGTAGCTGATCGCGATGTGATCAATCTGAGTCCAGGCTTGAGATGCAGAGGGAGGACGCCAGGTGGCACATCGGCGATGGCTGTGCCGAAAGTTCGTGCTGGCCAGAAACAGGTTGTAGTCTGTGCACAGTTGCAGTAGACGGTCCCCGTTATCTGTTCTGCGACCAACAATTCCCCATCGGCCACTTAAACGATTCTCTTCTGTGCCTAGACGCCCGACCTGAGCATTCAAGTCTCCGGCTAGTACTACAATATCCGTCGAACGCACTTTCTGGAGAAGAACAGTTAACTGATAGTGGAATTCATCCTTGATTGCATCCGGGCTGCAATCTGTCGGGGCATAGGCGGAGATGACAGAAAGACATCGTTCCTCATGCCGATTTCTCACTTTGATGGAACTTTCTGATCTAACAGCACATAACCGACTTCTAATGGGGATCCAATCGATTAATGCTCCCTCAGCTCTAGCGCTTAGTGCGACACCAACGCCAGCAAGACCAGACGAAGATGCCACAGGGTCCCCGGATAAGCGCACGTTAAACAAATTTTTCGAAGCGACAGATGGAGATCGAATTTGTAGTACTTCACCAGAGTCTTGAATACGGGTCTCAGATAGACAGCAAACATCGATATCAAGACTTTCTAAAGACATAGCCAGCCCTATCTGTTGTCCAACCTGCATAAGTGTGCGAACGTTGAAGGCAGCCAGTTTGAATGGTGCACGTGGTTTCACGAAAACTGCTTCAGTACTCATATTCGGTAGTAACATACAATTTTCAACCGGAAAGTGACTCGAGATTGTTTAGATGCAGTCGAATTTCCACCAAAGACGAGCCGCTGTATAAGTATAAAAGGGGGTGAATAATGTGGTAAATAATAATAATTTGAATCATTTGATTGTTATTCGAAGCGAGAAAAGTAGTTTCCATAGATATAGAGAGTTCATCATTTGCATGTGGGCTGCGATAATGCCCGGGTGCCCAGACCGAAGCAGGTGGTTATCTTAGGGGGCCACACCCCGAGCCTTTAGCCTAAGGGTCTAACCCACAAGCCAGTGGAGCATCGTAAGGAGATGCAGTCCCATGGTAGCCGGTGGCCAACGATTGATTCAAACGTCATTTGTTCCCGCAGGATACTGGAGCCCACGTTCACCATCGGTTTAGGATCCGGTTAAAGCGCCGGACACTCCTTTTCGTCCTCTCATTTTCGTAAACAACACCCGCGGTAGGAGAAGGAAGTGAGTAAGACTTCCCTGGCAGAGGCTGTATATGCGTGGACGTGTGACAGTATTTCGAAACGGAGAGCGGACCCACCCCACTCTCGGCCAAACCAGGGCATTTAGGGGCATCTTGCGTAGTTAACTGTTCATAAATAGTTGTACTATTTTGATGATGGTTGTGGTAGTTCTCCAAGTTTCAACTCCGCACAGTAGGACTGTCTTGACGTTCATATAGAAGATTCTGACTCTGATATTGGCTTGCATACAGTTGTTTTGAGTTCCATATGTTCTTTAACTGTAGAAAGGCGGCCCTTGCTTTCACATCTGCATTAGACCTTCCTTGCTCATCGATGATGCTTCCCAGGTACGTGAATGCTCCCACCTCTTCCTGAGTTTCTTCATGAAGTGTGACTGGGTTGGTGTTTTCCGTGTTGTATTTCAGAATATTTCTCTTTCCCTTGTGTATGTTGAGGCCTACTGATGCAGAGGCTTCTGCTACACTCGTCGTCTTGACTTGCATTTGTTGGTGTGTATAGGATAGAGGGGCTAGGTCATCTGCGAAGTTGAAATCATCTAGTCGCATCCAACATATCCATCGTATTCCGTGCCTCTCCTGAGATGTGGAGTTCTTCATAATTCAGTCATTTATTTATGTGGATACATACATTGGCACAAGGGGGCGCGAAATACATATGCGCTACACAATAACAATGGGGTTGTAAGAGGCAAAGAATGTAAAGTGCGTATAGTAAAAGAGGAACAACAACGAACAAAAATTAGTGTATGAGGGTGGAATAATAATAATGATAATAATAATAGGAGAAACAGTTGAGTTAGCCAAAGTATAACCAAAAATAATTCTTTCAATCAAAGAAGTTACGTTCATTTTTTTATGAACTAAAGGGAAGTTACAGCAGAATCGCCACTGGCTTCTATTCTGAGCCATATCTGATAATGTCTCTAGCCACCCATGTTCAATACTCTAATGGAGTACTACAAGTTCGTGTTCCATCTGTCGATTCAGAATGCCGGATTCAGGTACGCCTAGTTGGGGACCCTGGGATATCTTCCTCTGGTTTTGTTGGTGTTGGTATCACACTGGGCGTCTGAGCAGGGGGAGTATTAATCGATTGAATCACTATTAACAGTTGTCTATGTGCTGTTAGATTAGAAGGCTCCATCAAAAAGAGAAAGAACTGGTTTGTGAAACGGTGTATTCTCGTTATTTCCGTCTACGCCCCAATTGATTCCAACCCGAATGCAATCAAGGATGAGTTCTACCATCAGTTGAATGATCTTAAGAAAGCGCAGATACTAACATATAAACGTGAATTAGTTGAATTCAACTAAATAGACATCGTAACTTACATGTTTGGTCATGAGTACAGTAAAGTTAATTGATAAAGCAGGAAGTGCTATGACAATTGTGAGTGGAAGCAGGATTGGTGTACCTAACATTATACTACAAACAGTAACAACACGACGAAGTTTTGACCATCGGCTGCGACCCAATACAGTACAACCGGAAAAACTGGAAATGGTAAACACATAAGAATGAAGTAGTGGAATGCAGTAATATGGAAAGTTATTAATAAAAAGTAGATGAACGTATCTATAAGTAATCGTATGACGTGGAATTTACACAGTACTCAAAAGTAACAAGCCAAAGAAAAAAATTATCTGGTATTTCTTAGTCTTCGGTGGTTTTCAGTTGGTTTCAATGCCCATTAAAAACGGTCTTCAGACTAACTAATAGTAATACCTATTAGTACTGAAAACTAGCAAGTAACCAAAGTGTATTGAGTTTAATAAGCGAAACAGGTCACTTACTTTCTAATCGATTAAGACATACCTGGTTGTTGAGACTAATTCTTATCCATCATATCACAGTATGAATTAAACTGAGGGGTATGTGAATTTGAATAATCTCATAATAATGAAACAAGAGTGACTCGTGGATTTGGCGAATTTCCTAGAACAGTAATTGTCAGAAAAGTTAAGTCAGTAGGACTATTACCTGGAGGTTAAGAAGACAAGGTAGGATCGGCAACTTAAACGGGACATTTATCTATAAATCGTTGGTTATATCTGTTTTACCACCACACTTAATAATAATAAGTGTGACTAACTCAGTCAGTTACCGAACAAAAATTCTTCTACTCAGGTTAACTTGCAGGCTACTGATACTACCTGTCTGCGTAAGCGAAAGTAGGCAGTGAAAGGTCGAAACATGAACCTCTGTATTTGGTAATCAAGTAGTTTAAATGCCAAAGGACCATTTTGCAAATACGCGAGAAAATGAAAGATAATATGAAAGTTCCAGGCGTCCGATTATACGTATTCGTTTAGTTTTGTAATGTTTTTAATATGATTTGGATTTATATAAGCGTTGAGGTAATATAATAAGTATTTTAATTTGAATAGCTTATACTCATAATTTTGTCAGTCAGTACCTTTTGGTATGTAACGAAATTTGACGCACTAGCCCTATATGCAAGTCCATATTTGATTGAAAAAATAAATAGCACTTAGTTATTTGAGGTAGACAGGTATATCTTTTTGGGAAACAATCTTTATAGCCGAGTTTACCATAGATGTATTGATTTATATCCTATGGATAACACAAACAACCGGCACATTCTATAGTTGTCAAATGCTATTTAATACTCTAAAGATGGTTTGTAAGGTCTTCTAGTTTAACCGTAAAATGACAGGTTTTTGATTTTTCCGCACAGTTCGACTGTGTAGTGCTATGTCAACTCTTATGGCCGAACCCGAAGTATTCTGTCTTCAGGGACTTAACGTTCCAATATCTTTCAGCTTGGTTCATTTATATATGTTCCCCTGAACACTTAGTGTGATCAGTTAGTTAATACCTCAGTTTCAATTCAGCTAGCTCAACAGGCCACTGTTTCGAAGTAATACTTCGTGAAATCCATACTAAATCTGTCCACTGCTCTCTAGCTTTCAGTTCTATGTTTTTAAACTCATCAAACCTCCAGAAACTTAGTTAAATCTTGAATCCGTTCGATCGTGTAAGTAACCTTTAAGTATACATATGATGAGGGATGTTGTAATAGTCTGATTTAAGTGTGGTAAGTTGCAAAAGATTTTACTGGTACTATGCAATGTCTTCTTTTTTTAGTTTATTCACTTTCATTTTCTCTAGTATTTTGTTACTGTTTTATATTAACTTAGATTAGAGAGGTTCGCAGACGCTTGAAGTAATGTCATTAAAATAACAAATTTTTATATGGATCATATTCTAAAGTTAAGAAAATATTAAGTCCACTACAGTTTATAATATACCTCTTTACACAGTATTTCGGGTTATTTACTCTGTGTTTAGAAATCTAGTTTGACATTCATATGCGATAATTCATTAGTTAACGTTGATTGATCATCTGTTAATTAGATTTCAGTTTTAGTTATGCCTAAATATCGGCAACTTTTATTCTGTAGGCTACAAAGAAAGCAGTTTAACAATAGTGTCATCTTTTTTATATATTCATTCATTCTAAATTAATTATACCTCTATCTAGTCTGATACATAATGCTTATTACTTAATATCACTTGTACTTTTTAGTGCTTCTCCATTTAATACATCTTAAACTTTTAATAAGATAAATATAAGATTTTGTGTATAACGTTCAGATAATGAAAGTTTAATCAACTGTCAGTCATTTCTCAGACGATAATTTTTACATTAAGCACGAACACCATCATTGAAATTTTGTCGACTCACTTAATATACCATTAACGTTATTAGGATACCAGAATATATATTTACAGCGAAACCTGTCTTCTAGTTTAATGGCTACGTTCATCTGTTATATGACGTGATGAAAAGGCGACATTAGATTCTTTTACTCATTGTGATTTTTATTCAACAGTACTCCCGTTTTAAATTCAATGTGATAATTACTTAGTTTATTATTTGTTTTGTTTTTCAATGTGATATTTTATTCGGTACAACATACGATATTTTTGTATTAAAGTAACATAAACTATGCTCAGCATAGCGTGTGCCCCCAAATGCCCTGGTACAGCCGAGAGCGGGGAGAGTCCGCTCTCCCTCTCGAAATGCTCTCATATGGCCACGCGTATATAGCCTCTGCCAGAGAAGCCCTACTCATTGCCTTCTCGTGGTAGGGGTGTTGTTTACGAAATCGAGAGGACAAAAAGCGAACGTCCGGCGTTTTAACCGGGTTGTTGGACATGGAGAGTCCACCTAGGGGAGTTGAAAAACCCTAATTACAAACCAATGGTGCACATGGGCTTCAGTATCCTGAAGGAACAAATGGCGTACGAACCAATTTCTTGGTCACTGGCAACCATGGGACTGCATCTCCTTACGATGCTCCAGTGTTTTGTGGACCAGACCTTCAGGTCGAAGGCTGCGGGTGTGGCCCCCTAAGAAAACCACCTGCTTCGGTTTGGGCACCCGGGCAGTATCACAGCCCTCACACATATCAAATGAGATTTGTGTGGCACATATGTATTTGGTGCCTCTTTGTACCAATATCTATGTGTTAAAATAAATAAATAAATAAGCATGACATGTAGCATGGAATTTGTTACAATTTTTTATGTATGCAATTTCATCCTAATTAATTATCAAATAGGTTTACAATCAATGTATAAACGAGCGTATTTTCGACTAGGGTCGTCGTCGTGTTTTGGGTTTAACAAATCTTCTATTGTACCGGTTGTGATGTTCTTACTTCCCGTCGTGGAAATTGCAGTAGTTCCTCGTTTTTACAAGTATAAGTAATAAGTGATTCCGACATAACACAATCAGTGACGACCAGTTATAACAAATTGACGACGAGACATAACAATCTGTTCACATACAATGTCTTAAATCTAATAAAGCAACAGAGTATTAACTTCAAAAACCTGAGATGAATTTGTTATCTAATATAAGCGGATTCGTAAATCTCTTTTTGTGTGTAGTATATATTAATTGTTGATCATTAATTTCTATATACACAATAAATCCACTCAAACATTGTTTTTCAATTAGTTTGATTTCATTGTTTTCATTTTAGACTCCTTAGTGAAACCCTGTCCTAATTGTAAAACTCTCATACAAAAACTTAATGATGGAAGGTGTAATTCTATGGTATGCTCAATTTGTAATTATGAGTTTTGTTGGTTATGTTTACGGGAAACTACAGCAACTCATTATTTGAAGTACGTAAGCAATAATCCTTGGTCTTTTGATGAATATATATTGTTATAACGCCCGGTTTTCCTTGTCTACACAAATGGGACGTTAATTTGCCTTGGATGAATATCTACAGTGTCTGTTCTACAGGACTTCAACACAACTCACATCAAGAACACATGATTAGCCTGAATAGAACGTAAATATATTTCTACATCAAAAACCGTCAGCTAGCCTACACAATCCAATAATAATAATGATAATAATAAGGATGGGAGAATATATAATTCATCTAACACCTGTCAGACTACAAGTCTGAGTAAGTAAACAGCCAATCATTGTCATTCTCGCCCATATATATATGGTGGTGTTTATCAAGACAGACACTCAGAATGCGGAGAAGGCGAGAAAGCCAACTTCGATTTTGTCAAGTGTGACTCAATATTCATAACCAGACAAAAATAAGTTGCAGACACGTAATGAATAGGGTAAACAATTAATACACGTGTGATCATATAAAAACAGTCGAGGCTAATAAGCAAATAATTAACGAGGTCGAAATGTGACTTGAAACAAATCAATAGATCGGTCTGTCTGGAAGCTAGAATGACCAATATAGGCTTGATATAGTACTAAACACTACAGCTGCAACACAAACCTGGAGACCAGCAAACGTTAAGCACTTACAATTGGTTGATCTCGGAATAGTGACCAACGTTACGTATATCAAGTCCTATTTAGTGCTGATCGAATTCTATCGATCAAGTTGCAACCTGGTCACTAGTTTGGGTTACTCGACATCGCATAAACTTTTTTTTTACATATAAAATGGTGATTAGAGGTAGTCTATCTAAAACCCCTGAACCTAGGTTTCATACCATTTTGAACTCTTTAGTATGGTGTACCTGTAACTTTGAGGGTACTAATAATTCCTGGCGTATTCGATCCCGTGTCATTCAGCTTCACAATCGGAGATATCTCAGTCCTACAGGAAGTCAGTCGCGGTCCGAAAATCTCAGCAGTAACATCACTGGTTATGAAGCTGCGTATTACGGTATTGGACTCACAAGGAGGCATCAGCTTCCTTATTATTGCAGGTACACCTTGCTGACGAGTACCAAATAACACGAAACCTAAGTTCAGGGTTTCTTGTCGACTAACTCCAACCACCATAGTAATCGCCTAAATTAACAACTGTTCAACCGCAATTTACTCAGCAACGTAGGCGCTTATGAAAGTTAATAGCATTAAATGGCCTCTAGTTTACCTAGTATGAAAAATTATTAATTGAATATGTTCCCAGTCAAGCAGTTAACCATGCGCAACGTTTACGCAGACAGGTAGTATCAGTAGCCTGCAAGTTAACCTGAGTAGAAGAATTTTTGTTCGGTAACTGACTGAGTTAGTCACACTTATTATTATTAAGTGTGGTGGTAAAACAGATATAACCAACGATTTATAGATAAATGTCCCGTTTAAGTTGCCGATCCTACCTTGTCTTCTTAACCTCCAGGTAATAGTCCTACTGACTTAACTTTTCTGACAATTACTGTTCTAGGAAATTCGCCAAATCCACGAGTCACTCTTGTTTCATTATTATGAGATTATTCAAATTCACATACCCCTCAGTTTAATTCATACTGTGATATGATGGATAAGAATTAGTCTCAACAACCAGGTATGTCTTAATCGATTAGAAAGTAAGTGACCTGTTTCGCTTATTAAACTCAATACACTTTGGTTACTTGCTAGTTTTCAGTACTAATAGGTATTACTATTAGTTAGTCTGAAGACCGTTTTTAATGGGCATTGAAACCAACTGAAAACCACCGAAGACTAAGAAATACCAGATAATTTTTTTCTTTGGCTTGTTACTTTTGAGTACTGTGTAAATTCCACGTCATACGATTACTTATAGATACGTTCATCTACTTTTTATTAATAACTTTCCATATTACTGCATTCCACTACTTCATTCTTATGTGTTTACCATTTCCAGTTTTTCCGGTTGTACTGTATTGGGTCGCAGCCGATGGTCAAAACTTCGTCGTGTTGTTACTGTTTGTAGTATAATGTTAGGTACACCAATCCTGCTTCCACTCACAATTGTCATAGCACTTCCTGCTTTATCAATTAACTTTACTGTACTCATGACCAAACATGTAAGTTACGATGTCTATTTAGTTGAATTCAACTAATTCACGTTTATATGTTAGTATCTGCGCTTTCTTAAGATCATTCAACTGATGGTAGAACTCATCCTTGATTGCATTCGGGTTGGAATCAATTGGGGCGTAGACGGAAATAACGAGAATACACCGTTTCACAAACCAGTTCTTTCTCTTTTTGATGGAGCCTTCTAATCTAACAGCACATAGACAACTGTTAATAGTGATTCAATCGATTAATACTCCCCCTGCTCAGACGCCCAGTGTGATACCAACACCAACAAAACCAGAGGAAGATATCCCAGGGTCCCCAACTAGGCGTACCTGAATCCGGCATTCTGAATCGACAGATGGAACACGAACTTGTAGTACTCCATTAGAGTATTGAACATGGGTGGCTAGAGACATTATCAGATATGGCTCAGAATAGAAGCCAGTGGCGATTCTGCTGTAACTTCCCTTTAGTTCATAAAAAAATGAACGTAACTTCTTTGATTGAAAGAATTATTTTTGGTTATACTTTGGCTAACTCAACTGTTTCTCCTATTATTATTATCATTATTATTATTCCACCCTCATACACTAATTTTTGTTCGTTGTTGTTCCTCTTTTACTATACGCACTTTACATTCTTTGCCTCTTACAACCCCATTGTTATTGTGTAGCGCATATGTATTTCGCGCCCCCTTGTGCCAATGTATGTATCCACATAAATAAATGACTGAATTATGAAGAACTCCACATCTCAGGAGAGGCACGGAATACGATGGATATGTTGGATGCGACTAGATGATTTCAACTTCGCAGATGACCTAGCCCCTCTATCCTATACACACCAACAAATGCAAGTCAAGACGACGAGTGTAGCAGAAGCCTCTGCATCAGTAGGCCTCAACATACACAAGGGAAAGAGAAATATTCTGAAATACAACACGGAAAACACCAACCCAGTCACACTTCATGAAGAAACTCAGGAAGAGGTGGGAGCATTCACGTACCTGGGAAGCATCATCGATGAGCAAGGAAGGTCTAATGCAGATGTGAAAGCAAGGGCCGCCTTTCTACAGTTAAAGAACATATGGAACTCAAAACAACTGTATGCAAGCCAATATCAGAGTCAGAATCTTCTATATGAACGTCAAGACAGTCCTACTGTGCGGAGTTGAAACTTGGAGAACTACCACAACCATCATCAAAATAGTACAACTATTTATAAACAATTATCTACGCAAGATATTCAATATGCGTTGGCAGGATACCATCAGAAACAGCCTACTGTGGGAGAGAACAAATTAGCTTCTAGCTGAATAGGAAATTAGGGAAAGACGTTGGAGGTGGACAGGACATGCCTTGCAGAAATCATCGAACTGCATTACGAGGCAAGCCCTAACTCGGAACCCTGAAGGGAAACGGAAAAGTGGAGGGCCGAATAACACAGTACGTCGGGAATTGGAAGCAGACATGAAAAGGATGAAAAGCAACTGGAGGCAACTGTGAAGGATTGTCCAGGACGAATTTCCATGGAGAATACTGGTGAGCGGCCTATGCTCCTCCACTACAGGTAATAGGCGTAAGTTTCTAAAAATTCGTACTCAGCCGTATGATCCGAACTTCCGACAAATCAGTAACTTGAGTTTATTTGAGACCTTTATTTGATCACTGTTGAACCACTACTGTAAACCTTGACGCACTGGACAACCGTTTCCTCCTAGTATTGGACTCTAGGTGTAAGCATCCATGATCCTGCACTGGAGTTTATTTAGACAAAACACGTTATCTCTATCGATGAGCTCCTTTGTGAGCTGGCAACAAGAATAAAGAAAGAATGGAAAAAAGGGAAAAGTAAAACAAGGCGAGACTAAAACACTTGGATTCAATGGGTAATTCTTCAATGCCGAGTTACCAGTGATATCAAAGTCAGTCGATTTCTTCATGATTATTCACTGTCACTGTGAGACAGCTGAAATATTACCCGGGTTCTCAGACCGGACCATGTGGATTTATTAGACGGCTGCTCACCGAACGTTTTATCTAGAGATTGATTCCATAACGCCACAGGACCTTATGAGATGTGACCTCATGGTGATCACTCAAAAAGTCAGTCCTATGCACTATCGATCTTTCAAGATTCTGAAGTCACTGCGCACCATTAGTTTGGAATTAAGGTTTTCAAACTTTCTTAGGTGGATCTTCCATATCCACCAACTTGGTCGTAGTTTGAAATAGAATGTGTATAAGGTGGCGGTTGGAAATGGCCTTTAGGATACCCTGGAACTAAATTTCATGATATTTGACACATATTGGCAAGGTGTACCTTATGCTCGCTGGTGAGTTCAATACGGTATCAAGCAACGCCATAGTCAGTGATGTTACCACCGAGATTTTTAGATCGCGACTGACCTCCTGTGGGAATGTGTATATGTCGTTTGAGCGACTAGTTTGAAATCACTATTTCCTTATTATTGAAGAACTAATTCTTTGTTAAGAAATATACTTGAACAGAGTTTCTCAGAAGTAATAGACAAGTTTAATACCGCATTGAAAATAAAAAATTTTGAGAAATCTTACTTTTTTTGTAGTTTCTCAACTAATAAGTCAATCATATTGCTCTTCACGTGTTTTCAAAAGTCAAATGTCTGTTTATAATTTAGTCATACCGGCATTAAAAAGTATGCATACGTTCATACAGTTATTGATTCCTGGTGTTTTTGTCTTAGCAATTTCACATAATACTTGTTTGATTGGCTAAAATCTCTAGTTGCGATAAATTTTCGTCTCAACTGCAATCAATCTGTGGTTACCAGCACACTGCCGACAATTTTTACAAAACAACTTATGTTGACGAAGATTAGAAATACCATTTCCATGAATTTTTCGTATGTTTCTATGAAGTGGAATGTTTCTTTTTCTTATCATCTATGTTACATCTAATTACCATTGTTTGTTACTTGATTAGCGCTAATATTCTCCTAGTACGATCTATTGTAGCGCCGATTTCAGCTCTAAGACAAAAATTCATACTAAGATTCTGTCTAAATATGCTCCGCCTTACTATCACTAGACGAAGCAAAGATGTTATTTACGCATAAGGTTTATATATTCGGCGAGTGTATGGCTCAATTTTTCCAGTACTACTATTCACACCACAGAAAATCACCTTTTTCTGTTACATGTTGAAAAATTTACAATAAATCATGCCATCTATATGACATTTTAATTCACGCCAAAAATATGTGATGATGGATGCTTTGACATCAAACTTGATTTCATAATTATCGTCACCAACCTCATAAAGAGGTGGAAGTGACTGTGCTTTATAGATATTCAGGTAACTTTAGTTTTCGAATCAATGGCAATTTTTCGTCACATGCTGTCACTTAGCCGTTATTTCATTGGTGAACTATTTCTCTTTGTGCTGCTTGTCACCTTTGTTACTTACTTGATGGTTGATTATTACTTGTTAACTTTTTTTGGTAGATTGAACAGTAATTTTGTCTGACCAAGCTATACATTAAATCTATTTCAGTGTATCTGCTGATTATTATTTCGTGTAGATATTTGATCTATAGAAATACTTTTCGCAGCAAGTAACTTTATAACAGCATCAAATACTTGTCATTTATATTCATGGAGTCAAATTTCGAGTGTATTCACATCTATTGCTCGATAGATAAAATCAGAGGAACAAATAGTGATGTAAATATTTGAAATTTCACAGGCTTTAGAACCGGATGATAAAATAAGTCCCGATGAACACGTCGTCATTTTTTCTACCAGCATTTTGTTAGATACGACGAACACTTGTAGATTTATTTAATATTTTAGAATTTTTTGTATAGTCTTAACGCGTATCTAACATATTAAGAAGTAAAATAGTTGCCTGATACTAAATCGTTAGTGGGTTGTGAATGTTTCAAACCTTTCCTAACAATAGCATTTACTTCTAATTATCCCATTAACATGCTGACTAGTAGCAAAGACATTATGTTGGTAAATAGTATGGTTTGCCTCACTATTCCTACCAGAGTTAGTTCAATAAAAATATTTAAATTACCAAAGTTAGCATACCATAATCTTGGATTGCATAATTATCAGCCATGTGTAAGAGGAACCTTGTAAAATTTTCGGTGATTTTATCCAGTCTGTAGCAAAGTGGTTTAAAGCGAAATATCTTTATATCTCCTTTACAGACGTTTTTTTATCTACTTTTATTGTTTTGTACACTAGACCTAAGAACCATTTCTTTGAATTGTGAAGACAAACTTCAACTAGTAATTTTTATCTACATTTGGTAGGTTAATTGGATGCTTCTTTCGAAATCCAAACATTTAAGACGGTTTGTTCTATTCTGGGTTGTAATCGCTGGTCTCATTGTGTTCCCAGTACTAACAGGTAAGTGCCATACTTTTGCCTTTAAGTTTTCTTCACTTGATCTTGGTTTAAATGAAACAACCCTCATTTTAGTCACATTAAGACAACAGATCTGCGGAGTACCTTTTTCTGGTCTACGTTTTGCGGAAGAATATCAAACTTTTTGTGTTCAGTCTTAAAATTACAGGAGTACATATGGTTTGCGACTGCAGATCGCGCATTACAAAATATATCATACCACTGTGGTTACGTTCACTTTTGATTTTGCTTTCTATCTGTTCATGTTTGCAATCTAATTTGTCTCATAGTTTTATTTCCGTTGCTAAGCATATGTCATAAATTTTACCTTGTGACAGCTTGAAGTGGTGCACTGTTATAGGATAGGCTATATATCACTTCAATCGTTCAGTAAATTATTTGACTCGAAAAAAATAAAAGTTCATAATATTTCTAATGCAAACTAAGAGTTGGTACAGTATCAAACTCAGAGACTATTTACATAGTTTTCAGGTATTTTTATTTCATTCTGTTTGCTAATCACATTAATCTAGTTTTGTAAAGACAATCGAAATATCCAAACCAAAGCAAAATGGCCGTTCATTTCTCCATGCCTTTCATTTATTCATCAGCTTGTAATGAGAATTAACTCCGGCATGTAATTTAAGAGATAAATCGTTACTGACTTTCATTTTTAAAACATCAATAAATCATGTTTGCTAAAAACCATTCCCAGAAATCATTCAATGTAAACGAATAACAATGAAGGTTTCTCAATTTCTACAAAGTGTATAGTCAAAGAATGGGCGTTAAACTAATAAAATAAATCTGTTATATTAATCGTATGGCCCCGCGTTTTAATTCCAGTGATAAAATATGTATCCCTATTAACTAAGTATATTTACCTAGACTTAACTGTTGTGTAATGAATACGTTACCGATTATATGAGATGTTTAGTGGAAATAGTCTTGAGATTATGTATACTTCAAGGATTCGAATGCGCAGGCAAACCATGCAAGCAAGATGGATATTAACCTGGGCCAGAATTGTTCAATTAGTTATAACTGATTTTAAATGACCAAATAAATGATAAGATAGAGAAACATTACATATACAACGTTCACTTGGATATCTTCTTACTGTTATCAAAATATTACATTTTTCACCCTACTTGTCAGACGTTCTTCACATATCTTGTGTGTGATTTATTTATAAATACAGACTTTATTTTAGATCTGAATTCTATGAACAAGAATATGTAGCAGTATGCACCACATTTGTAGTGCATAGCGGCGTGTTTACGGAAAATAATCGTAACAGTAATAATCCATCAGCTATATGTGGTTAGTATTCTACGTTAATGCGTCATTCGTCGACCTCACCAAATTTATTGTATTGTTTGTAGTAGTCGCAGCAGCCATAGCTGGTAGAAAAACGTGCTGTCGAAATTCCGATCGCATAATAACCTTTGCATCTGATTTTTATTTGTGATGGTGTTGTCATTAATTTGTATTTATTAAACAACCAGTTTGTCGACTGTCGATGAGACAAAGAAACTATCCTTGTAGCTACTTAATTATGGAGTCCGTACCCCTTCTCGGGTTACTGCCGGTCCAAAGCCCGGGTAAACAAGGAGGGTTAGACATGGTGTCAGCAACTCCATACCATAAAAAACAACCTTGTTAAAACAGTGATAAACAGATTAAACAAAAAATAAACCATTCAAACTGTTCTGGAAGTTGGATGATCTTCGTTTATGAGAATTATGACGCGTCATGATGAAAGCCGACATTCTTCAGAAGTCACGAGGCCAAAGCCCCTTCTAACCACCAGAGTAAGAATTAATATGGGTACATGGGACGTCCGGACAAAGTGGGAGACCGAGAGGATCAATCAAGTGGCTATGGAAATGAGGAGATACAACCTGGAGGTCCCAGGAATCAGTAAAACCCATTGGACCGAAGCTAGACAGAAAAGGATAGATTCAACAGAGGTGCTGTTTTACTCTGGTCAAGAAGAAAGTACTCCACACTCACGGAGTTGCTCTGATGCTGTCCAAAGAAGCACGCAAAGTACTTATAGGATGAGAATCTCATGGACCCAGGATCATCAAAGCATTCTTCACAACTAAGAAAGAGGGAATCACAATGAATATTATCCAATGTCATGCACCCACCAATGATAGCAACGACGATGATAAAGATAAGTTTTACGAGAGGCTGCGATCGATCATAGAAAACTGCCCAGGAAAGGATCTGACAATCCTGATTGAAGATCGAAACGCCAAAGTTGGAATGGACAACAACGGTTATGAAGATATCATGGGACGGGATAAACTAGGAGAAAGGAACGAGAATGGGGAGATATTTGCAAATCTATGCGCATTCAACAAAATGGTTATAGGCGGCATAGTATTCTGACACAAAGCTACGTGGGTCTCACCGGATCACAATACAGAGAATCAGATCGATCATATTTGCAACAGTAAAAAATTCGAAAAGTCGATGGAAGACGCGAGAACCAAGAGAGGTGCTGACATAGCTTCACATCATCACCAACTGGTGATTGCCAAGACCAAACTAAAGCTAAAGAACCAGTGAACAACTGGACAAATAGCACTACCAAGGTTCAATACAGCCTTCCTTCGAGATACTGACAAACTCAGTGAATTGAAGATACCTCTGAGCAACGGGTTCCAAGCCTTACAAGATCCTACTCACAGAAGCAAAGACTACTATGGAGGACAACTGCAAAGGGATCAGAAGCACTAACTTCAACATGTCAGGAGGCTCTGGGCCGCAGCAAGCATCATCATAAAGAATAGATATCTATCGAAACCCTGGGCAAGATTCAAGAAAGGAAGAACAAGAAGATAGCAATTAACAACAGCCGAACAATAACAGAAGTCAGGTTACAAGTTGAACATATAAAAGCAAACAATATAGTGAAGAGGAGCATTATAGTCGTCAAGTAGAAATACGGGGAAAACCTAGCAGCGACAGTGGAAAAACGCTTCAAGAAAAGGAAATATGAGACAGCTATATGGCACGACGAAGAAGCTGGGAAATGTAGTAATCTAGAGAGACCGGTCAAGGACAAAGAAGTTAAGTTGATCACTGAGATTCAAGAACAAAGGAACAGGTGGGCAGAGCATCTGAGGAATTCTTGAGTAGACCAATCCCATTGAACCAACCATACATCGAAACAACACACGCAGAACTTCCTATCGATGTCACTCCACCAACAATCGAAGAAATCAGAATGGTCATCATACATATCAATCGTGGGAAGGCAGCGGGACCTGACAAAATACCAGATGAGTCACTGAAGTGAGACACAGAATTAACTTCAAAAATGTTTGTTGAGGGCTAATTTCCTGTATATCTGACTCCAATAAATGATACCCCGTTAACTGAGTATTTAAGGTAGGCTAAATCTCCTAGTAGAACTATGGATTTACTTACTTACTTACGCCTGTTACTCCTCGTGAAGGAGCATAGGCCGCTCACCAGCATTCTCCATCCAACCCTGTCCTGGGCAATCCTTTCTAGCTCCATCCAGTTGTAATTCATCGCTTTCATATCTGCTTCTATTATCCGACGCAATGTGTTCTCTGGCCTTCCTCTTTTTCGCTTCCCTTCAGGATTCCAAGTTAGGGCTTGCCTCGTGATGCAGTTTGACGATTTGCGCAATGTATGTCCTATCCATTTCCATCGTCTTTTCCTAATTTCTTCTTCAGCTGGAAGTTGGTTTGTTCTCTCCCATAGAAGGCTATTGCTGATGGTATCCGGCCAATGTATGTTGAGTATCTTGCGTAGACAACCATTTATAAATACTTGTACTTTCTTGATTGTGGTTGTTGTAGTTCTCCAAGTTTCAGCTCCATACAGTAGAACTGCCTTGACGTTCGTATTGAAGATTCTCACTTTGATATTGGTTGAAAGTTGTTTTGAGTTCCATATGTTCTTCAATTGTAGGAATGCGACCCTTGCTTTGCCGATCCTCGCTTTTACGTCTGCATCGGATCCTCCTTGTTCATCGATGATGCTTCCCAGGTATGTGAAGGACTCTACATCTTCCAGAGTTTCGCCATCAAGTGTGATTGGATTGCTGTTCTCCGCTTTGAATTTGAGGACCTTAGTTTTCCCTTTGTGTATGCTGAGGCCTACTGATGCAGAGACTGCTGTTACACTGGCTGTCTTTATCTGCATCTGTTCGTGTGTACGTGATAGGATGGCTAGGTCATCTGCGAAGTCCAAATCGTCTAATTGGTTCTGAGCTGTCCATTGTATTCCGTGTTTTCCTTCAGATGTCGAGGTCTTCATAATCCAGTCGACCACCAGAAGAAAGAGGAAGGGAGAGAGTTGACAGCCTTGTCTGACTCCGGTCCTTACTTGAAATGCATCTGTCAGCTGTCCTTCATGCACTACTTTGCATTGTAGTCCGTCGTATGAGTTCCGGATAATATTGACAATCTTCTCAGGAACTCCGTAGTGTCGAAGAAGTTTCCATAATGTCTTCCTATCTACACTGTCGAATGCCTTTTCATAATCAATAAAGTTGATGTATAGTGATGAGTTCCACTCAAGTGATTGTTCGACGATGATCCGTAGTGTTGCAATTTGGTCTGTGCACGACTGATCCTTACGGAATCCAGCTTGTTGATTTCGAAGTTGGGCGTCTACTGCATCCTTCATCCGGTTCAGCAACACTCTGTTAAAGACTTTCCCTGGTATTGACAGTAGTGTAATGCCTCTGTAGTTTTCACATTTGCTCAGATCTCCTTTCTTTAGAATCTTGACGAGGTGTCCTTCTTTCCAGTCCATCGGAGCTTGTTCCTCCTCCCAAATCTTTTTGAATAGAAGATAAAGCATGCTTGTGGTTGCTTCGATGTCTGATTTCAGTGCTTCAGCTGGTATGTTGTCGGGTCCTGCTGCTTTCCCGTTCTTGATTTGTCTGACGGCCATTCTAATTTCTTCCGTAGTTGGTGGATTGACATCTATAGGAAGATCTATGTGTGCTGCTTCGATGTCCGGTGGATTCATTGGAGCCGGCCTATATTAGGAGTTCCTCGAAGTACTCTACCCATCTGTTACGCTGTTGTTGAATTTCGGTGATTGGCTTGCCTTCTTTGTCTTTGACCGGCCTCTCTGGTTTACTGTATTTCCCTGCTAGTTTCTTCGTTGTATTGTGAAGCTGTTTCATATTTCCTTCTCTAGCAGCTTTTTCTGCCGTCGTTGCTAGTTCTTCAACGTATTTCTTCTTGTTGGCTCTAATGCTCCTCTTCACTTGTTTGTTTGCTTCTATGTATTCAGCTTGTGCTTGGACTTTCTCTGCTCGTGTTCGGCTGTTGTTTATTACTGCCTTCTTGTTCTTCCTTTCTTTGATCTTGTCCAGTGTTTCTGTAGAGATCCATTCCTTATGATGGTATTTCTTTAGACCGAGAACCTCTTGACACGTTGAAGTAAATGCTTCCTTGATGCCTTTCCAGTTGTCCTCCATAGTAGTTTCTCCTTCTTTCAGTAGATCTTGTAAGGCTTAGAACCTGTTGTTGAGAGCTATCTTGAATTCATTGAGTTTGTTAGTATCTTGAAGGAAGGCTGTATTGAACCTTTGTATTGCTGTTTGTCCACTTGTCCAGTTCTTCTTTAGCTTCAGTTTTAAATTGGCTACAACTAGGTGGTGATCTGAAGCTACGTCAGCAACTCTCCTGGTTCTCACATCTTCCATTGTCCTTCGGAATTTTTTGTTGATGCAAATATGATCTATTTGGTTCTCTGTAGTGTGGTCCGGTGAGATCCATGTAGCCTTGTGTATACGCTTGTGTGGAAGTATTGTGCCTCCTATGACCAATTTGTTGAATGCACATAGATTTGCAAATCTTTCTCCATTTTCGTTTCTTTCTCCCAGTCCATGTCGTCCCATAATATCTTCATATCCAGTGTTGTCTATTCCGACTTTGGCATTTAGATCTCCCATCAGAATGGTGAGGTTCTTTCTTGGGCATTTCTCAATGATTGACTGCAGCCGCTCGTAGAACTGATCTTTAATTTCGTCGTTGCTATCATTGGTGGGTGCATAACATTGGATAATATTCATTAAGATCCCCTCCTTCTTTGTTTTGAATGATGCTTTGATGATTCTGGATCCGTGAGATTCCATCCTACAAGTGCATTTCGTGCTACTTTGGACAGCATAAGAGCGACTCCCTGAGTGTGTGGAGCATTGTCCTCTTCGTGACCGGAGTATAGCAGCATCTCTCCCGTAGCTAGCCTTTTCTGTCCAGCTTGGGTCCAGTGGGTTTCGCTGATTCCCAGTACTGCTAAGTTGTATCTCCTCACTTCCATTGATATTTGACTGGTCTTCCCGGTTTCCCACATTGTTCGAACGTTCCATGCACCCATAAAAATTTTTGCTCTGGTTGTTAGAAGGAGCATCGGCCTCGTGGCTTCCGAAGGAACTCGGCTTTCACCATGAAGCGTCATAATTCTTCTAAATGAAGACCTTCTAACTCCCAGGGCAGAGTTAAAATGGTTTGGATTATTTTTTCTGGTAAGCGTTTTTTTAGCGAGTTAGTTTTCTACGGGATGGGGACGCTAACCCCATGCCCAACCCTCCTCCTTTACCCGGGCTTGGGACCGGCAGCAACCCTATAAGAGCTACAGGCGGAGTTAGAACTTTGGATTTACTGGAGATTATTCAGAAGCCTGGACACCAGTTGTAGAGATATTTTATTGTTTAAGATAAATAAAATCCGCAAGCGTACAGCGAGCAAGCACACTGTGAAACCAAGAGTGTGTGTGTGTTAAAAATCCATATATTTTTTGAGTGTCAATCAAGTGTGGATAAATTATTGATTATCTGTATGTTACAACCAATAGGAGAATAGATTAAGAGTGATGTGCAGACACGCGCTCAACCATACACACACAGAAATTAAGATAGTGAATTAAGTGTCTGAATTACAGTGAGTAGACAAATGATACAATAGTTGAATTGGCTTGCTACATGCTCCACGATCACCTTAGAAAGAGTGGGCAGGAAGAACAAGTTCCGACAGACTGGAAAGAATGATACCTCATCCAGATACCAAAGAAAGGGGATCTGAATAAGTGTGAGAACTATAGAGCCATAACACTACCGGCAAAAGTACTCAACAGAGTGTACCGATAAATCGCGACACTACGGATCATCGTTGAACAATCAATTGAATAGAGCTCGTCACTATACATCAACCTCCTTGATCATCAGAAAGCATTTGAGTGTGGATAGGAGAACACCACGGAAACTTCCTCGACACCATAGAGTACCTGAGAAAATCGTCAACATCATACGGAATTCGTACGACGGGCTACACTGCAAAGCCGTGCATGGATGAGAGCCTTCATACGCATTCCGAGTAACGACCGAAGTCTGACAATGCTGCTTACTCCCCCCTTCTCTTCTGGTGGTTGACTGGAGTGTGACATGGTGTCGTGGTATGAAAGAAAGCTGCACAGGATTGACTACTGTTGGTCCTTCATGACTCCGTGGTTGAGGTCCTAGAAATGGTCCAACAGGGTGGCTAGAGACGTTGTGAGATATGGCTCAGAATAAAAGCCAGTGGCGATTCTGCTGTAACTTCCCTTTAGTTCATAAAAAAATGAACGTAACTTCTTTGATTGAAAGAATTATTTTTGGTTATACTTTGGCTAACTCAACTGTTTCTCCTATTATTATTATTATCATTATTATTATTCCACCCTCATACATTAATTTTTGTTCGTTGTTGTTCCTCTTTTACTATACGCACTTTACATTCTTTGCCTCTTACAACCCCATTGTTATTGTGTAGCGCATATGTATTTCGCGCCCCCTTGTGCCAATGTATGTATCCACATAAATAAATGACTGAATTATGAAGAACTCCACATCTCAGGAGAGGCACGGAATACGATGGATATGTTGGATGCGACTAGATGATTTCAACTTCGCAGATGACCTAGCCCCTCTATCCTATACACACCAACAAATGCAAGTCAAGACGACGAGTGTAGCAGAAGCCTCTGCATCAGTAGGCCTCAACATACACAAGGGAAAGAGAAATATTCTGAAATACAACACGGAAAACACCAACCCAGTCACACTTCATGAAGAAACTCAGGAAGAGGTGGGAGCATTCACGTACCTGGGAAGCATCATCGATGAGCAAGGAAGGTCTAATGCAGATGTGAAAGCAAGGGCCGCCTTTCTACAGTTAAAGAACATATGGAACTCAAAACAACTGTATGCAAGCCAATATCAGAGTCAGAATCTTCTATATGAACGTCAAGACAGTCCTACTGTGCGGAGTTGAAACTTGGAGAACTACCACAACCATCATCAAAATAGTACAACTATTTATAAACAATTATCTACGCAAGATATTCAATATGCGTTGGCAGGATACCATCAGAAACAGCCTACTGTGGGAGAGAACAAATTAGCTTCTAGCTGAATAGGAAATT